TACAGGTTTGATAGAACATTAAAATGAGCATGAGCATCCAAACCACAATGTGATCATCAAGCATGCCTAGTGAAAGCCGGTTAAAACCACAATGTGATCATCAAGCATGCTCCAATGGTACTTATCCTATCTAAAAGACGTCATGGAGAAAAATATACATTTCCTTAACTGAACTCTTTGGCTATCCGATTTAATCCTTGGTAAGTTTCACGGCATGCAGCGAAGGCAATGTTGGCACCAAGCACTCTTCTCACTTGCGGTGATGTCCGAGAAGTATTTGTCAATGTCCACCCTGAAGGTCCAGCCATTTGGGACTTTCTAAACCCAAAATACTTGAGTGGGGGACATTACTTTTCGCTCTGAAACCTCTCCTTACTGTTTTAGACAGATCTTGCGAATTGACATCACAAGCTTGTCAATATATAGTCTCTCGTGTCATCTCATGATTCATCATCGACACAGAACGATGAAGGCTCTTTCAAATCCAAGTCGATGTTTTGCTTTTGTTCACCTGAAACCATGGTAAACTTGGTTTATGTACAGTTAGTTTTCTCTTTTCTTTGATCATCTCAGATTGAATATAGTATAGATATGAAGATTTCCATCTCGGAGGTTAGAAATCTTGTTTTTTTAGGATCATGGCTATGTTATTGCGCTGTGATTTTCATTGCTATCGAAATTGATTTGAGGTTATATAGGTGTTTATGCATCGTAAATGAATAATGTAATGTATATCTTGTGTAGTCTGAGGAGAGAGACAAGGGAACCAAGCTGATCGTGAGGGGGCATAAAATTTCCGGTGTCTATGTTGTATTCAATGTGCCTCTTTATACGATGATGGGTTTTGAGAAAACAGATGTTTTTTCCTCTGGTTGTTATCAAGTGTTATGGTCCTAGTAGTGTATATTATGCATTTTGTAGTAATTGAAGATACATTCCAAATATTCCAATCGATAATCAGTCCAACCCCCTTTAATATAAATTGAACCAAAAGCTGAGATGGACCATTCTTTTATAGACCAAACCTGATCATGATTTCTAAGAGAAGAAGTTGGAGATGAAGTGGAGCGGCCCGCGCAATCTTTGTCTTCACAACAAGGTTCTCCAGATGCGACATATCAGGGATGTCTTTGTCCATATACTCATCCATGAATTTACTCAGAACAAGAAGGAAAATACCTGAGACATGTCCCGAAAATCTCGCGGTTAGAGAATATGGGATGAGGAGAAGTTGAAAGTAAAGTGCCCTCTAAGCAGATCTCTAACTAGCTATAGGTAGTCAGTCGAGCAAGGGAGATCTGTCTTACTAGCTAATAGGTACTCATTCCAGCAATGAACATATTCCTAAGGGATTTGTAGGTACCCAAACAAGTAGAAAGAGCAACAAGTATGTGCCAAAGTCTGATTCCAAAGAAGAATCAAAGCAAGCAAGAATAATGCAATAATCTACTGATTAACACAAGATTTTTGATTGTTGTATAAACATGTCTATAAAATAAGTTTACGCATTCATATTTAGAAGAGGGAAACAGGATAAGTTTATGCATTCATATATAGAAGAAGGGAGGCAAGCATGATGATTTCGATTTCGATCAAATTCGTAAACCTTGAAAGCGATCCGCGGCTTCCTCTCCTTGAATTTTCTTTGCTTTAGCTTTCTTCTTGATCTTCCCAACAGCCTCGAGCTGCAACTTCTCCATAAGCTCAGGTTGACCTCTAACAAAATATTTCTCATGTCTAAATTCCAAGTGCCTAGACCCCTTAACTCTTTTAAATCGCTACCAAAACAGCTTAATACATAGCAAATATA